AAAACATGTCGAAATTGCTGGAGTCTCAGGTAAGAAATCAAGTTGCCAAAACAATCATTAAAGCCATCATTGAACAATCGCACCTTATTCAAACTGTTAATTAATTAATTTATCAATTGCGAAATAAATAACTGTGAAAAATGCAACTCAATATTTCTGATATTTTTTTATTTGCGATTTTCATCACTGTAATCACCATCTACGAACTATATAATCGGAGCATCTTAACAATGGAGATGATTTATTCTGTTATCTCAGAAAATACAATATTCTATGTAATTATCGCTGTAGTATTTATTTATCTATGAAAATATGTATCTCCAACTCCGGTCCCAATTCCAATTCTGATCCCAATTCCAACTCCAATTTCACCTACGTTGGATGCGAATATAAAAGAATTAAAACGAGATATGTTGGCTCTAAAAAATGATCATGCAAGAATAGAAATAATTTGGAATTGAGAAGTGAAATTCGAAGTAGAGATTTGTGTTATATTACAAGTTTAGCGTATATTCTACATGTTGATTAATGCAACGTAAATTTCTTTAGGGTGAGTATCATATAGAGCCACCAATCTGAATATTCCGATGAAACTCAAACTCTCTGGATCGAATTTACTGTCCTATTTGATGAAAGAAGAAAAAGAGTAAAATGCTCCCCACAAAAATGTATAATGCTTTATCTCAAGAAATTAATCTCAGTCCCGTAACACTTGCAACCTTTTACCGGTACTAGAGAGCACCACAATGTACCTCATTGGATAAAATTGCAGATTGGATTGAAAAAGAAAATCGGAAAAAAGATAACTCTCTTATTATTAGCAATAGTAGCAGTAGTAGTAATAGAAACTCAGAGAGCTATTTCTCACGAAATAATAGTGGAACTAGTATCTTACCGACACATAATTTTTCAAGTAGTAGTAATACCCATAGTAGCTCTGCTATAATTTTAGACGATAATAATGATAATAACTTAGTTAATAACACGAAGTAGAGAAAGGAACTCTCATTTATGGATTAGAGCTCGAGATGTTCCTCCCTTTAAACGTCCGCTACTCCACAATTCTATATAGGCCAGCCTTTACATGTAGTTTATTATGAAATAATGTAATTTGTAATGAAATAAAAATATATATCAATAAAGTTATTTTTTAAAAAATTTCACTAATCATAATAAGCGATTTACTTATAGGAATCAATTTCATTGGTTAGAAAAATTATTGGATAATAATCAAAAATAAAAACAGGTCTCTGTTTCCTAGTAAATAAAACTTCTATTGATATATAATCGATGGAAACAGAAAATAAGGAAAATAACCTTGACACTATTCTAAAAGGCCTTCCAAATATAAGTTAGTTATATATTACAAGTATTTCAATTTTATTTTTCTGAGTTTGCAAACTGTTAAGCGTGATGGCAGTCTAGTCAAAATTACTATTATAACCCATTACGTAAGACTTTTGAGTCACACAATTTTACAAGAGTTCGGTTAAGCGCAATGGTAGCCTAGTCAATTGTTACTACTATAACCCATTGCGTAAGACTTTCGGATCACATCGACCTTCCTCAGAATATAACTCATAACAAAATGCTTGCTAAATATATTCTTTGTCCCTTCATTACAAGATGTTCGAAAAAGATAAATCCAATATTAAATGGATATTAATCTCAGCTAACTCAGCACCACTTGAATTTTACTGACATCTGAATCACAAGACAAAACGTGATGCCTATGATACATATCATTTAGTCCTGTAAACGATTTTAATAAAATCAAAAGGTATTTGTAAAGAGAGGTTAGAGATGCTTAAAGAAATTCAGAAAAAATGGAAGGTAAGAATGAAAATGTATATACTTTAATTTTATGATATTAATATAAAACATTTGTTTAATGTAGAATGACGATTTCAAAAATGACTGGAGTAAATATATTGCAGAAAGATTAGTGTCAGAGTCTATTAATGCGAGTTACAAGGTTCAAAAAAGCTACAATTATGAAGTTTCCTCCTATTCTTTACCAGTAAGCATTTTTCTAAATATCTGTTATCCTTGAGTTTATTAATTATTGACATTATTTTGTTCAGAAACAGAGGCGCAGTGGTCCATACACCTGACAAGCCAGTTATTTAATCACTAAAACAATTATACCCTCAGGTTTTGTTCACAAAAAAGGGCAAAAATTGTCAGTGACAAACTTCACAACGAAAACTTGGTGAAAAATGACTTGAATTAGATAGAAGAGTCAGAAAATGATAATCAGATTGGAAAGCAAGGTAACAATAATGAAAATGAAGAGAATCGTGATGACCATGATAGTCAGGATCAAGTTATTACTGTTGTTAGCTTGTTTCTTTCTCTTATTTTTATTTTTATTTCATTATTCTTTATATGTATTATCATCTATATATTAT